GCAATGCCTTGTTCAAATCATAACTCTGTATATTTTTAGAAAGTGCAAGTATCCATTTCATGGGAACAAAAGCAAACAAGAATTTTAAAAAGAGCAACCAGAAAACTAGAGAAAAAAGTAAGTAGGTGCTGAAGAGTATCTTTAATACTCTTGCAAGACAAACATTCAAACGATGAATGCACACAACCCAAAATATAATAAACAAAACTGTTAAATTTTACATCATAAACATCATAACCTCTTTTAAAAATCCTATTCCTGAGTTCATTCTACATGCAGAAATTAGTTTGATTCTCTGGATGTCTGCTTTAGTATCCTCCTGAAGTCAACAGTTCTTTTTTTTCACTCCTCTTTCTTTCTCTTGCTTCATCCAGGGGTTTAGGATTTGGTGAACTTGCTTCCCTTTAAGTTCATTACCAGTGAAGACATCCGAGAAGCTTCACTTGCCTCACATTGAAATCTTTATTCTCCTTACTGAATGGAAAGCTTTGCTTGTAATGGCTTTCAGGAGGACAGGACTAAACTAATGTAGAAGGCTTGAAAAGCTCACATGGGAGGTCTTTGTCACAGAACTGACCCCACTGCTACTGTTCCTCTAGTACAGGAAGGAAACCTGCTGATGAGGCTGTCTTCAGCTCTCACAATAAACTATGCTGATTCCAATTATCAGGGAACAGTGATTTTCTCCAGCTTGACTCTTGTCACTGCAATCTTTTAACCTCTAAGTACGCAGACTTAGTTCAAAGGTGCTGTATCTTCGAAGAAACTGGGAATGAAGAGCACCTTAGCAGAAGCAAACTGTCCACCACCTCCTGTTTACAAAGAATATGTGCTGCTGGAAGTGATGCCCTTCCTAAGGGGAAGCAAGAAATGCATAAGACCTTCAAACATACATTAATTTACAGCCTGAACCCTTGCCTGGCTTTTAGACAGGTGTATAGTACAGATTTTCAGATGCCTGAAAAAAATCAAAAGCATTATCAATACAGGTCTTGAAAATACTTAATTTGGGAAATTTCACATGAAAATGTCAATACAGTCTAAATATAGAATGAGACTTATTGCTGCTGGTTATACCAAAGTTAACAAAATTTCTTGGATTCTGAAAAACAACTACTGTGAGAGTTACACAGGTATACAAAAACTCCTTTCAGAAGAACTCCTCTATTGGCTTTCTTATCTGCTTATCTATCTTGCACGAAAAAACAAGCCCAGGATTAAACTAGCATGTAAACAGAGCTGGCATTACTTGAACTAGAAAAAGGGTCAGAAATGGTATTCAGTAACAGCATTCAAGAAGTTTTCAGAATGCCAGAACTACAGATCAAATGTTAAAATCCTACTTTTATCTATTAGGATTGAAAATTATTCTGTAAACCCTATGCTAAGCACATTAACCCCCCTAAAATCAACATGAAGTCTCATGTGAGACCAACTGGCCAAGGCTCTGGCTTTCTTGGAGCAGATTAGAAAGTCAGGGCTTGCCTTTCCACTACTGCTGAGAAGCCCATCACATCTCCATTTGAGGTCTCCTGCATTTCCCCCAGCTCTTGAGGAGCTGCAGCAGAAGGCTGCCCAGTGGGGCACTGCTGGGGAGTGTGCTGGTCCCAGAGAGCAAGGCAGCAGCCTTGGGGCTGCTCTAGCTTCACCTTACTGCAAGGAGAGCACAGGACAGAGCAGAGCCAAGGTCACAGCTCCAGTTTGCGCAGGCAGGACAAGGTGGTTAGTGCTAACGTTGTGCCAACACCAGATTAACACAGTGGTTAATGAGAACCTTTCCCCCACACACATTCAGTAACCTGAATGAAGATCTACTATAGCAGTCTTGTTTAAGACACTTCAAGTCAAGACTGCTGCTTGTTCATTCTCAGCATGCTCTAGTGGAGGAATGAGGGGAAAAAAGCAACTCTGTAAGAAAAAAAATATGTAGTGTTTTATTGCATTAAAAATTGACCTTTCTTCAAAGTGTCTTTTACATAACACACATGAAAACTTCAGAATCAGTTGTATAAATATATCAAAAGGAACAAATATTTTTTTAAAAACAGTATTTTGGCTCAGTAAAATAACTTTCTACCAAAGGTAGGGATAAGAAGTAGCAGTTTTTCATACAATCTATTCCAGTCAGCAAAAAAATAATTCAGGAGGCCCGAGGTACTGGAACTCTGTTGGCTGGTCTGCAGACTGCGAGCTGTCAAGGTGGAAGCACAAAGTCAGTACTGTACCCTAGTCCTCAGAGTACAAATACCATGCTTCCAATGTCTGGTATTCACATTTGATACAGGGATCTTCTTAAGGAAGAGTTCTGTGACAAAACTGTACAGCTTCTGTCCTACTCAATTCTTCTGTCGATGTGAACTGTAACAGGTAGCCTTGCTCAGATGGATGTCAGTAACTTCAGATGGATCTCAAGGCTCTTTTACCCTACAACGGGCTCTCAACAAACCCACATCATATTTAAAAGCTGACTGAGTGCAACAGCTACATGAATGTGGCACTTCATGACCCAAACTGTCCCTCCCTTGACACTTTTATTCTTCACTAAAACACAGAATGAGAACAGAATATAAGCATGTGCATTGGTCTATACATACATGACATTCATCAACAAAACATTCCAGTACCATGACAGTTTGAAATACTCTGATGTTTCAAATGCACTTTTTTCCCTCCTAATCTGAAATGCAGGGATTCTTATTCCACTCTGGCCAAACACACACTCAACTCACAACGGCACTGTCTCTCAGAAGCAGAGTTTCAAATTTCCATCATACCCTGAGGTAACCAAAACACTTCAGGTAGCAGAGGAACCTATTTCCACTAGATCTGTCACTCATCAGGCAGAACATGAGGGTCGCACCATCCCACGTTCACTCGGCAGTTCTTCCATGGGATGGCACCTCACACTATTGGTTTTGTTGGTTGAGGATGGAGGCATAAGAAGATAACTGCATGAGCCATGAAAGAAGAAAAAGCCAACACTGCAGTGTCAAAATGAGTAGATGAATTCTGAAGGATGCAGAACATGAGTTTTTTCAGATAAACAACTGGAGATATCAAAGGACCAACTCAAAGGGAAAATTTCTGCCTAATACTGTATTAGTAACAGCCTGAAAGGAAAGGACAGCTGGGAAAGTGATGGAGTTTGACACAGTAGTAAGTTGCTTGTTCCAAGATTGGGCAGCTGCACAGAAAAAGATAGGCTGGAGTCTGAATGGGAGGAGAGCAAAAGGTGCTGCAAGAGAGAAGCTGATAGGATGCAAACAGGAATTCAGAGTTGCAAGCAAAGTTAAAGGCAGTAACTGTCAAATCCTGAGGCTTCCATATACAACTAGATCTCCTAACTTAAAAATGTAACTTTCAAGCACAAACTGAAAAGCACAGGCAAACTGAAAAGCACAGGCAATTTGGCTCTCATATGTCCTGCTCTTATAAAATTCATAGCTATAAACATGACACTAAACAGATTTGAACATCTCTTAGAATCAATCAAATCAATTCCCTCTCCTGAAAAAACAATTCATAGTTACAAACTACATCACTGCCTACACACAAGTCAAACATAACTGCAGAGTTAACAAAATTGTGTCATAAATAATCTTGTTAAAAAAAAAAAAAAAAAAAAGCAAAGAGAAAGGATTCAACATGCACGGTAACTTTAAAAATTTTAACAACTTTAACAACGTCCTTTCCCAAACAGCTGTATGAAAGCTGTGACTCCAGCCCCAGCCACATTAGGTACAGTCACTTCAGATTCCGTACATCAGGAGAGAGGGAAAGGAGAAAAGCAAGCAAGTGTAGGCGGTTATGTAGGGCATCTCTCTCTCACTTTAAGGAGTAGTGGGCAACAATCCTATTTTACCTCTATTTTGTAAACACACCCATAGCCAAAAAGCATGGCCCTGCTACTCCTTTTCTTCTCTCATTCCACTCTGAACACTCTGGGAACCAGATAAATTTGCTAATCTGGGAGAAAACTATCCCAAGGAAAAGAACAATTTCTATCACATTAGCCTGTTCAGTCAGGTTCAGCTTTCAGAGCTGACAAACACTAGAGCCAGCACCCTGGCTGGGAACAGGAGGGAAGAGCTGCTCTCCCTCAGCAACAGCAACCCATGAGAAGTGGGTAGCCCGTTGATCTGGTCCTTAATGTTGATGGAGATGAAGCCAACCATCCTGTACTCCCCATGAGAGACTCTGTGTCGTTAGCTAATTGTTCCACTTGGGTAATAAGAACAAATATATTAAGCCTTTTAACTGGAAAAAAAATCCTCTGGAGATTATTTTTTTTACTCAATACAGCATTACGATGGTATTTTTATGATGTCTGCGTGGGACAAGTGGCTAAAAATGGTGCAGTTCTTTAAAATGTAAAAAAGATCAAGGTAGAGTATTTATGCTTTGTCAGGTTCAATAGCACTTTTGGGGGTCTGGATTTGTCTCTTACCTTTTCTACTGGGTGATAAGACACTGATGCAGTAACACAGAGGGATTTATCTTTCAGCAAACTGAACAAGGCAGCAAATAACAAACTTGTAACAAACAGTTCTGTGTTATTTCATTTAAAAAATGAAGCAAAAACATTTACTGGAATCAGCCATGCCCATTGAATAATATCACAATTCTAACTAATATAGTTCCCTTCATGTTCAACCTCTAATTGGAAAGAACAAGTTTTCTGGTTTTTTGATATTTTTTTCCCCTTCCATCTTTAATACCAAAGAGTTCCACCAAATCACAGTGCAATTCTTAGAAAAGGCCTCATGTACTTCCTACATGGTTTCAATGTCATCACTGTGCTACTGACGACATTACAAGGTATTCTTTTGATCTGGACAGAAGAAAGGATGATTCACATCTGTAGACGAAGCTGTGGTACCTTCAATCCAGAAAATTCGGATGAGATTGTCTTCACAAAACAGATACATGTGACCTTCAATCAATTAATCACCAATTATATGAACTGAATTAGTCAATAAGTGTCATTTTTCTGTTGTTATTTAGGGAGAATTAAAGTCTTTCGGTAACAAATGCAATCCTGATGCATTTTTTCTGGATGGCATGTGGTAGCGAACTTTCTTCCAGAATCTGGTATTTGCTGAGTGAGACCTTTCTGAGAAGTCTCCTTTCCATCGGATAGCCCCATGCTTTTGCTTAATATATTTGATGGCTTCTGGCATGTCTGCATAATCTTGTATTTTTTCAAGTTCAATGAGAATTACTTTAATGCCATCTTGGATAAGAGCATTATACATGGCTAGCTGCTTTTCAGACACATCTTCAGTAACACTGTAGCAGGAGGGTTCTGGTACTAAAACAACTATCACTCTTCTACTTTGATGCATTTTTTCATCAGCAATGCTGATCACAGCTGCAGAGAAAAAGGTTGTGCAAAATTAAGGCTGTATGTTTCTATTTTTTGTTACTAACATGTTGCAGTGGCTTCATTCACTGTTTGATAAAACAGAAAACCAGGAAGGATTCAGAAGACTTTCAGCATTTCACCTCACATAAGCTGTCACTGGGAAAGACTTGGCAATTTTCAGTGTCAGATGCTAGAAATTCAATTTTGATGTGCATATGTACACAGAGGAAAGGATTTTAAAGCCTCGCAAGGAAGGCGATGCTGTGTAAGAATTTTCACTAGGGACAAATAGTCTTTGATACAGCTGATCATTCCTGATAGTGTTGCTTTGTATTCTTTTTCTTCCACCTGCACTGTCTAAGCATCCATTATACCCTTTATTGCATCCCACTGGTTTGACAGCAATTCTCAGAGCAAATAAAAATGAAGCAGTAGACAGGTCATCCTGTTAAATGGCACCTCAAAGCCATGGGCTCTTTTCACACCACTCACGAGACCTACTGTTCTAAGTTTCCTGCCATGAGTCATCATTCACAACCACAATTTCAACTCCTTTTCCCCTAAGCATCCTTCCATCTGCAGATGTCTAGTCTATCCAGACACTGAAAAAACATGGAAGAGCTAAACAATGACAAGGGAAAGGCTGAGATAAACAGACTTCATGGGAGTACCCAGTGCTGTATTTCTCATTCTCCATCAGAGAGAATATGAAAATTATAGCTCATTCAATGGTGGGAGATGTTTAGAATCACATCTGTTGGATTGCATGTTTCTGAGTTGTATTTGCAGTTGCCAATGAGAAAATGTGAGTGTAATTTGGCTTCAGATAGCTTACCTTCTCCTGGCAAATCATCCCTCCCAAATATGAAGAGGTTATATCCACATTGTCTTTCTAAGACCTCTGGCAGTATCTTCAGGGCAAAAATATCTGATGAATACAAGCAGCTCTCTCTGTTCTTTGGATACAGAACATAAGCATCATAGATCTTCCCATCTGAAACTAAAGAGTGAGCAACAGGAATAATTTAAAAATGGATTCTAAAGACACAAAAGCAAGCAAGCAAACAAACAAACAAAATCTCTAAACACTTTTTTTTCCCCACTTGAATAATTGTTTGAGGTCCTAATCCTGCTATTATCTAAGCATGAAATACTAAGCCTGAAATATTTGTAGAATCAGTATGCTGGATCTGAATAGGCAAGAGACCTGCAAAATTAAGTAGGTTTGAATATTCTTTTTTGAACTGTAAATAAAAAAATGTTATCACTTAATTATCTGGAAAATAGCAGTTCCAGTAGTACAACTGAATGTTTAAAATTCCAGCTGCCACAGAACTCATAGATCATTTTTGTAACCTATGTTTTTGTTTCAAAACATAGCAACCACTTAGACATGAAAACAAAACCAAAGTATTCGGCAAATTTCAGGGTCTGAATTGTATTAGATATTTTGGAACAAACTTTTCAGAAAGACCAAATTTAAAAGACTTCAAAGAAATCTAACAGAACCTCAGTACCTCTAGAAGGTATTTTCTGTCTCTCTAAGCATGTACCTCCGCTCAGACGTTTGGAAATGACCCATACTTCAGCACACTCTCATAGACAGCACTCCTATCAACATTTTTCTGAATGCCAGGAATTTACAGAAAGTAAAATAATCATAAGTGCCTTCAAACAGAATACAAAAGAAAGTTAAATTTGTCCTGGTTCATCTGTGGAAAATAAAAAACGCCCATCAATTCCACTGCATTACTGCTTTCTGTAAGAACAGTAATTAGAAGAAAACTGAACAACTGCTGTCAGAACAGCATTCAAACCACTCATGTGGGTCTTCAGGGAAAGGAATGAGAGTACTGGATTCCTGGAAAGTTGCTGATTTTTCCCCTGTAGATGCTTTGGTATTTGAACTAATTCTAAACATTCTAAAAATGTGTCACCCTTTCAAAAATCACAGGGAAGACCAATCATGCCCCATGAGGTTAACTCATTGCTTTGCAAGGGAAGGTAAAGGCTCCTTACAACACACAGCACTGTTGCAAAAAACATACCTTTTTTACCCAGGAAAGGATGGCAGGAGTCCCGATACCAAAGCACAATATCAATTTTGAAGATCTTGTAGATAAAGAGAGTAAAAAACACCAAAAACATCAAAGAAAGTCCTCCTCCAATTAAGTAACCCTGAATGTTCTGAGCTGCAGTAGAGTGGAAGAGAGAGAACAAACAAACAAAACAAAGTTATACACTAAAACCAGAGAAAGACAAAAGACATCATAGAATCGTAGAATGGTTTGGATTGAAAGGGACCTTAAAGATCATCAAGTTCCAACCCCCCTGCCATGGGCAGGGACACCCTCCACTAGACCAGGTTGCTCAAAGCCTCATCCAGCCTGGCCTTGAACACCTCCAGGGATGGGGCATCCACAGCTTCTCTGGGCAACCTGTGCCAGTGTCTCACCACCCTGACAGGAAAAAATTTCTTCCTAATACCTAATCTAAATCTATCCTCTTTCAGCTTAAAACTGCTCTAAATTGGTTTAGTCATTAAAATATTAAAAAAAAGGAATGTATGAACAGGACTGAAAATTTTTCATGTATGCTTTCTGCAAATACTGTTGACAAGCCTACTTTCATCTTTCAGAGAAAGGACACCTTAAGAACGTGACAAATTAATCTACTCTTCAGCTGAAAAACCAAAATATTGATCTATATCCCAGTGCAGCAGTAGAGTGAGAATTCTTATACAAATTTTATCAGTCAGAAAGCAAGAAAGTCAGAGATGGGGAGGTGATTTCCTGACCCTGCTATTCTCCCCAGATCAAGCAGCTTTCCTTTGCCTCTAGCCTTTTCGAAGATCTGTCATTGAGCCTACTAATTTGTTGTCCTTAAAACAAACACCCTCCACAAACTGCACTTTTTAGTTCATGCATATTAAAGGATTTCTGAGGTTAAATCCTACCCTGACAATATTTATGAAGTACTTATAGTTATGTAACAAACTACAGCTCAGATCCACTTTCAGTCAATTATTTGTTCACAGTATGGTCAGTTAAAGGTAAGTTTGAGAACAGCATTTGTCAAAGGATTGGCTCACAGTTGACAGACTCTTCTGCAACTAAATTAAAAAAAAATAGACACTTATAATTATTTGCTTTTCTGTGTATATGTTTTTAAATAAAAATAATTCCTTTTTTCAGCCTTGCATTTGAGCTTTTAAAGCTCACTTTACCTTTAAGTTCATCTACTAAAAAGAAAAGTTCAGGCTAGCCAGCAATATGTCAAACTTATCCTTGTCTCTAAGCAGAAGACTGGGGTGTCCAGCAAGTGGCAAGATGCTCCCAATCAACACGCAGGAGCCTATCTACCAGGTAATAACACAACACATGCATCAGCAGTGGAAAGTCCATAATCTTTCCAAACAATCTATTTAATTCCTTCACTACCGAGTTTCTCCTACTATACAGAATTTTTTTTCTTTCTCCTGGCAATCTGAGTCCATTATTCATTACTGAAGGATAGGACAACCAGGTCCACATATACATTCATGTCCTCCTGACAGTCCATTCCATGCTTAATTATGTCTTTCCCCCCAGCTCTTTTAGAGAACTGGCCACTTTCACTGCTCTTCTATACACATGATCTCCTCTGATCCACATGCTTCTTTAAGTACAAGTGTGTACAATGAAGCACAGTATTCCACTCTGGTTTCATACTTGCTTCAAATAAATTGGAGTCTTTCAATAATGTTTCCTAAAACACTGAGTGAGAGAAGACAAAGCAAATTAAAAGTGCTATTTTCTTTAATTTTGCTAAGAATATGACAAAATACCTCAACACAGTTTTAGCTCTAAGAAGGGTGTTGTCAAGTTAACTGAGAAGTAAGCATCATTGATCACCAATTTATCAAGATGACATCTCTTACCTGGGCGTTCCAATTTGATGTAGGCTGTAAATTGCTGAGAACCATATATGAAGCAACAGAAAAATTTATGAATATAATCCTTTACTTTCACTTTTGAAATGTTAAATTTTGTTCCAGATACAGCAAGTCCATGAGGCATTCCCTCTCTGTCATTAAAAAAGGGTAAAAAGGAAACATCTGTAGAGAAACTGTACTATCAGTGCTTAATATGAGATAGCTTAATCTATCTGCAAATACAAGAACATTCATTTTTTTATGTCTATAAACCTAGAAAACCAGTGAAACACAGTAAATATCACCCCTGTAACAAACAGCTTCATGACCAGAGGTGACTTGGCATTTTCCATACACATTGGGTTGCTGGGTTATTTGGGGTTTGTTTTGTTTTGTTTTCTGTGTGGGACAGAGCACACCATTAGCAGTTTTGCAGATGATACAAAACTCAAAGGATGGCTGATACACCAGAAGGTTGCACTGCCATCCAGAGGAACCTTGATAGGCTGGAGAAATGGGCTGACAGGAACCTCATGAAGTTCAAAGCAAAATGCAAATCCTGCACCAGAGGAGGAATAACCAGTCCCTAGGCATCCCGGACTCGATTCAGAGTGCTGCCAGAAGGTTGAGGAAGATGATCCTTCCCCTCTACTCAGTACTGGTGAGGCCATATCTGGAGTAGTAGGACAAGTTCTGGGCTCCCCAGTACAAGAGATGTATGGATTTACTGGAGCAAGGCCAGTGCAAGGCCATGAAAATGATTAAGGGAGTGGAGCATCTGCCATGTAAGAGCACAGGGACTGTCCAGCCTGGACAAGAGAAAGCTTGAGGGCAGGGGGAGGATCTTACCAACGTGTGTAAACACTTGACGGGAGGGAGTGGAGAAGAAGGAGCCAGGCTCCTTTTGGTAGTGCGTACTGACAGGACCAGAGGCAATACACACAAATTGAAACACTTTCCCATCTGAAATTCCATCTGAACACTTTTTTACTGTCAAGGTGTTCAAACACTGGAACAGGTTGCCCAGAGAAGCTGTGAAGTCTCCACTTGTGGAGATATTCAAAACCCAACTGGACACAGACCTGAGCAACCTGTTCTATCTGACCCTGCTTGAGCAGGGGGGGTTGGACTAGACGATCTCAAGAGGTCCCTTCCAACCTAAATGATTCTGTGAATGAAAGATTATTCAAATAAGTGTCAATAAAAAAAAAAAATCATATTCCAGGATTCTTTATACTGATGATGAAGCAGAAACCTTTCTAAGCACACTAACAGACTCCCCGAGCCCACAGTGTCCACAGTCAGTGTCACCAACTAACTTAGGAAATGATGAACAAAAGCTGGGTGATCCTGGTGTCAAACGACAACATGGTGATACTGCCTTTATGTCTGGTATCTATTGCCACAAGAGGCTTGGAGATATAATATGCTATCCTGCAAAATACCATCCTGCTCTAAGGTAGATTCAGAAGTATAAGGTGGGAGGGGCCGCAGTAGGAAGGTACCTGGAAACTGGCATCCTAACCTATATACCAAACTGATGTAACCTTATGTACTCAAGGAGGAAAACCTATTTCCGAGAACATCCTGAAGAACCAGTTTCTATGACATATGTAATTGTCAGCAACTTCTGTCATGGGATGCCAATACAAACCTCATCACTTTGCAACATGTTCAGATTTGCTCAAGTCACTTTCAACTTTTCTCAGAACAAAGAGTTACCGCCTAGGTGTAAGCCCTCAAGTCCATCATGTTGTCCATGCCTACAGTGTGCTTTGCTACTAGCAAATGCTCCACAAATTTAATTGCTGAAAAATTCCTACTATTTTTTGAAATAAAACATTATTATTGCAATTAGATTAATTTATCTGATACTAGATAACTTACTTTGAACTATCAACCCTAATTAGAACTTGCACAGCATGTATTTTGCACATCTTTATCGCTAGCATGAGAAAATTATCAGGCAGGGGTAGTGATTAGAAATGGAGATCGCTTCCAAGCAAGCCAAAAATCTTAAAAGATAATTGCTTTATGTTAAATATATTAAATGCTTTTCAGCCACATGTGATGAATGGCAGCATCAAGTTGGTTTCAGAAGAAGCTGCAGTTATAACTTTAAACATAGCTACACAGAGCTGCACCTGTGTCTTAACTGGTGAAGCTGAGAAACTTCATGCCCTAAATTGACTTAGTTGTGCCTTAGAGACCATATGCTGGAGCCCTAACATTTACAGGCAAACAACCAAGTATACAGATCTTTTACAGAAGTAATATTACCCCCTAAAGGAATTTGGGGACAAAGTAAACTAAGATTCCTTCTGGAGGCCAGATACAGAAGAATGAAAAAGATCATTTAAAAGCAGTCTGCAACTTAACTCTCTAGATGTATTTTGCACTGATGATGGCACTTCGTGGAGATGGCAATGCTTCTGCACAACTGTGAACTGATCAGCTGAGATTTTTTTTTCTTTCTTTGCACTACATTTTAAGGGTTATATTTGACAGCAGTGATTGATACAATGGGAAAGCAAACAGTATATCCACACTCTCCTACAGCAGACCAGTCACTGAATAACAAAGGTTCTGCTCTCTTAAAAGAAATTCCTAGTTTTATCAGCCTAATTTGTGTTTAATTTTACTGAAAATAATTTTTAAAAACCCTAACTGTCCTGCAACAAGAGCTTCTGCTTTGTTTTCTTGAGGATTAGCAGCTGTATCTGTATTTAGAAAAGGACCAACTTCACAAACAAAAATAAGTGGAGTGATTTTTTGCCTTGGAACAACCTATCTTTCCCATATCAGTGATAGAGGGCAGGCTTTAATCTATTAGCAAAAAGGATTGTGTCAGAACAAATACATAAATAAGCCTTACAAAATTACATGTTTCACAACAGCTTTATAAAAACCTACATATGATTGCTTCATTACATTTTTTATCAGGTACATCAGTATTTATAATAAAATGATTATTTTTTTTAAACCCAAGCAATAAGAACATGATGTACTTGATGCAGACTTCTAATCAGTCTTTCAATGACTACTGACACTTGGCGAGTAGTCAACTTTATGGTTAATTCTCTGCAAATTACTGCAGATTACTTCACCTAGAAATGCACTTACAATTCAATGTATAAGGATACTTACTCATAAAACTGTTCCCTGTAGGTGCTATCAAAGCTATCAACATCCTCATCATTAACTTGCCAGAATGGGATCAAGCCATTTATGCCACTTGATACATTACATTCCATAACTACATGAGAGCCTACAAAAAACATTTAAACATGGCAATTGAAGGTCTTGTAACAGAAGCAGGATAACGTGATTAGGGAACAGCTGGCAAAAGGAGGGATATCAAAAAACCCACTTACCTTATGCAAAGCAGAGTCCTTAAAACTCATCCACTTGTAATCCGCACTTGGGTGTCTCCAATCTAGATATAAATTCCATCCTAAATGTAGGCGCCTAAATGTTTATGACTACACGTGAGCTAGATGTCTGAGCTAGTAACAGAGTTCAACTCTGCTGGAGTACACTCACATTAAAGTAGACGCCTGGACCTTATCAACTGAATGGCTCCCTGGACTCCACTGACTCCACTGAAAGATCTCAGGGCTCAAATCAGTTGCATATACACAGTACAGTAACATTTGAGATGCTCTCCAGCACCCAAAGCATTCATATGGAGCTGGCAGATAGGACTTCAGATCTTCAAGAAACCTGCACCGCCAGAGTAGCCAGACCATCCAAAACAGCACTAGACATCTATGTGTAGGCAACTGAATTGAGCCCCCATCCATAATAACATGAATTAAGGACTTTAGCTCATATGCAGATACCCACGCATAGAGAACTACACCCTGGAGCCAAATCCCATTCTTAGTGACCATGCATATCTTTACTCCAGATCAGAGTCTTTTGGCCAACACTGTCCACTGGGAAGGTTTTTGAACACCCTCACACTCTCCTCCCAGAGCCAGCTCACCTGTCAGTCAGCTCCTTTGCCACAAACAGTCCAGATCCTACAGAATGCCTCAGTATTAAGAAAAAAAGCCAAGTTGCAGCATGTATTTACTGCCAATGTACCTCAGAGGGCTCCTTTTACAGGAAGGTAAGCAACTTTCTTGGAGTCCTTTCCTTCCGTATTTTACCCATGGAAGTTATGATTTAATAGGAGAAGGCAGGCTCTCCATTCACCTACATAAAGATCTCAACGTCTCGTTCCCTAGAACCACATCAGATCTAGATACTTCCACCAAGGGATGGCCTCTATTAAAAGTATAGAATAAACCTTTAGCTCACGTGCAAAGTGCTTACTTGAACAGGACTCCTTCTGAGTAGAGGCTACATTGGTAAGAATTTTCTGAATTAAATGGGAAGTCATAACTAATTACCAGTCAGAACTGGGGACAAGTTTTACACAATATTTTAATGGGTGACAGGTGCAGTAGAGGGAAGCCCACAATATTACTTCATTTCTTCCACAGTTACAAAGGAAAAGGAAAGTTTCACACATAAAGATCAAGGTTGTGTCAAGTAAAAAAATGACTGTGGCAAGTCTCCCTATTTCAATCTAAGATCTGATGAACAAATTTCCTTATTAGCAGAAGAGTACAAATAAAGTTTTTCAGGCATGTAATTGTAATGAAGCCAGAGAAGACATAAATACCAGAAAAGAAGAGGTTGCTGAGCCATTTCTGAGTATTTCCAACAGAATTAAATAACTATCTGAAGACTGTAAGACTGTTAAGTCTATGAAATAATACTGTTTGTATCAGATCCTGAATATTCCCACTGTTTAAATCAAAGCCTTCTGGACTTACAGAGAAGCTGTCCGTGAAGCCAGAGATCAAGTTAGGAAAGCTAAAGTCCTAACAGAATTAAATCTGGCCAAGGACATTAAGGGTAACAAGAAGAACTCCTATAGGTATGTCAGCAATAAAAGGAGGACTCGGGAAAATGTGGGCCCTATCCGGAAGAAAGCAGGAGACCTGGCTACCCAGGATATAGAGAAGGCTGAGGTACTTAACGAGTTCTTTACCTCAGTCTTCACTGGCAAGAGCTCAAGCCACCCTGCCCAAGTTGCAGAAGGCAAAGGCAGTGACTGGGAGAAGGAAGAACCTCCAGCTGTAGGAGAAGATCAGGTTCAAGACCATCTAAAGAACCTGAAAGTGCACAAGTCATAGAATCATAGAATCACAGAATGGTTAGGGTTGGAAGAAACCTTCAAGATCATCAAGTTCCAACACCCCTGCCACGGGCAGGGACACCTTCTACTAGACCAGGTTGCTCCATGGGACCTGGTGAGATACATCCGCGGGTCCTGAGGGAACTAGCCAATGAAGTTGACAAACCGCTATCCAGCACATTTGAGAAGTCATGGCACTCTGGTGAAGTTCCCGTGGACTGGAAAAGGGGAAATGTTACCCTCATTTTTAAAAAGGGAAAAGACCCAGGAAACTACAGGCCGGTCAG